AAAACTGGATCAGTTTTTTTCTGGGATCAGTGGCTAGTGCAGTACCCAACCGGGAGTACGTGTGGCTGTCATGTTGCTCTAAAATATCTGGGTACAGCCATGCTTTGCTGGCCTTCTGCACAAGATTAGGGTTTTTGTTTAGCTCTGCTGTAGCATAGCGCCGGATTAAGCGTGCTGCTACGTTCCACATAGCCAATAGCGGCGGCGGCCCATCGGTACCCAGAGTGGGCTAGAATCCTGGGACCCACAAATGTGCCTCCCTTGCTTTGGCTACTGCCAAGCCCCCTCCCCCAACTTACCACCAACGCCCCCTGTCTTCTCATCCGGCCCAGGGCACACACACGCGCCCCAGGAAAAATCCGCCTTCTGCCTCCTTCCTTCCTCCTGGCTGCCTGCTTTCACGCGTGGCCTTGGTGGCTCCACTGTGCATGGCGGCGGCAGTGGCAGGCTCCACTGCTTCGCCCCAGGGTGTGCGCGGGGGTGCCCCCTGACTTATTCAAAGGCTCCCCGAATAAAAAAAGATCCTGGCTACGGGCCTGCCATTCGGATAGGGGTGGGATGAAGCAAGAAGCGAAGGAAAGCAACAGTGGTGTGGTTGAGGGAGAACTGCCACCAGCCATGCAGGAGATGCCTGTGGCCTCTGCTGTGCATGCAGGTGGAACCAGGCTCCACCTTGAGACCCTGGAGACCCACTGCCAATCGGAGAAGGAAGTGCTGACCTTGGTGGACCGGGGGGGGGTCTGACTCCTCACATGCTCAGAAGCTGCAAGAGTGCTCTCTGTGGCTTCCCCACCACTCTTCCTACCAGTGTTCCCTATGAACTGAGTTAGCATGAGCTAGCTCACAGTTTTTTAGCCTCCGGCTCACACATTTTTGTCTTAGCTCAGGAAGGATGGCCCCAGAGCAAACTAATTTATGCAGTAGCCAAACTGCTCGCTCACAACTTTAATGCCAGCAGCTCACAAAGTAGAATCTCTGCTCACAAGACTCCACAGCTTAGAGGGAGCTTTGCTCCAGAGCAAACTAATTTAGGCAGCAGCCAAACGGCTCGCTCACAACTTTAATGCCAGCAGCTCACAAAGTAGAATTTCGGCTCACAGGACTCCTACGTAAGGCAAAGATGCACCCATCCTTCACGGACCATCCAAGTAAATGCAGAGTAAGGAGAGGAGGAAGCGTGGAAAGGACGAGCCCATCAACTCCCCCTAAATTCCCGTCACTTCAGTAGTCATCGGTGATGCCTGGCTGTAAAAGTACTGCATCGCCATTGCTTGTGTGCCTAGACACGGTGGCCAAGAACCATACCAGGAGAGAGAAGCTGATACACAGGCAAAAGTCAGGTCCACCATATGCAAACATCACACCCAACAGCAGCCAGCGCCTGAATGATACATTACGGGGGGGGGGGGGGGGGGGTTTGTCTGTGTTTTGCTACAGGCTGAACCTCCAAAATTATACAAATAACTGTCCACACCAATGTGCTGTGTTCAGAAGCGGCTCCTCCTATTGTCCCAGTCTTTCCAACAGAAAGCAAATATAGATATATATATATATGCATATTTATAATATTGTGACATCTTTGAAGCTCTACAGGAAAAAGAATGGGTTCCCATCCTAAAATAATAGGAACTTTAGTGCGATGGCACACCTGTGGTCCTTGAAGTCTGCTTGCTGTCTCTCTCTCTCTCTCCCTCTCTCGTTTTTTTTTTTGGCTGAGTATGCTTTCAGGCCAAAAGAGCAAGTGGGAATATGGCGCAAAAGGGCAATTGGTACTTAAAAAGGAGGATGATCCATTTCGTCAAGCCAAGAAGCCGGGCTTGTTGGAAAGTCTGGATAGCCCACGCTGCTCCCGGTAGAAATATCAGAGCTTGGGCCCCCAGCCATAGCCCTGAGTGTCTGGCCCACTCCCTGCCCTCCATGTGCTACGATGCCTAAATTATTGTCCATTGTGTAATCCAGACCATTGAGCAAAGGAGTGTGCGATGGAAGGGACGAGATGGAGGCTGGAGACTGTGGGATTCCGTAGGGGCTGCCGTCTCTCAAGTCCTGATAGGATTGTCCTGACCCGTCTATGGCGAAGGTGCCGTTCATGAGTGGTCCGCCAGCCACCTCACTCGCACTGCTGTAAATTCTGTTGTTGTGCCCGAGATCTGACAGTATTTGGTCTTCTGCAAAGGAAGCAAGGAAGACATGGTTTAGCAGCGAGGGTACTAAGGACCTTATCGTGCATTTGCCATGCAAGAAAGAAAGCATATTTTATCAGTCATTAAGTGCAGGTTGAGTCCACTGTCCCCCCAAAAGTACAGTGCCCTGATATCCATTAAAAGACAACGATAGACATTGTGTGTCGGATGATGGTTCCAGTATGCAAGGCTGTCCAGAAGAAAGGATTCGGTGGACAAAATTCCATGGCCCTGATCACAGTGGGTGGAGCTGGGTGCATCATGTGATTGACTTTCGTAGGGTGTTTGGGTTAGCTCTGGGGAGGCTGCTGAGCGCCCGGGGGGAACTTTTGTCCGAGAGAGCTGTGATAGCTCTCAGCTATGTGGCTCTTTGCTTGGAATTGCTGTTGTGTATATTTATTCCAGTAGATAGATTCAGGTGGGGTAGCCGTGTTGGTCTGAAGCAGCAGAGCAAAGTTTGAGTCCAGTGGTACCTTTAAGACCAACATGGCCACTAGACTCTAAACTTTATTCCGATAGAGTAACTCCTTATCATTCATTTCAGTTTGTAAACACATTCTTACTAAGCGTTCATACAATACTGACCCCCAGGGGTGATTTCGTAGAAAAAGAGGTGCAGGAGCTCATTTGCATAGTTATGCAAATGAGCTCCTCTACCTCTTTTTCTATGAAATTAGCATAACTTATTTGCATATGCCACACCCCCTGACGTCACCGGAAGTGTGTCTGAAGGCAACACCCACCGCTCAGGCTCCACTGGACTGTTTTGGATTGCTAGCTATTGGGCAGGGAAACATGCAGATCTGTCCTCGCAGAGGAGGGAGAGCTTGTACCTGAATAAAACTTGGTCTTAAAGGTGCCACTGGACTGTTTTGGATTGCTAGCTATGGAGGGGCTCTGCAGCTTACATGGCTGCTTCTTGCTCTGATTGAGGGCTGCTGGGAGCAGGGGGTGGGGGCTTGTTGCATGTGCCCACCCTCTGGGCTCTTTACTGCCGGAGCTCCGCTCCTGTGCGCTCCTGCAGGAAATGACCCCTGCTGACCCCCCATGTCCACTGTTCCACCCTAACCAGCAAAAAATTTGAAGCTACAGGAGTAAAGACAGTGTAGCTGTATGGATTCTAGTTGGAAACTGAGCATAAGGTGTAGGCCAGACCTGTACTCCTTGTATGGTACAGAAAATAAGATGGCGGCTTTAGCTTACCAGATAGCCACTTTTTTAAAAAATTTAAGAACGAAAGAGGGGGAAAGAATCGCGAGACTTCTGTGGTGTGGATAGCTAACTGTTTTCTTGCCTTTCCACCAGAATTGGAACGGCAGAGCAGCATGCCTAGCTTTCAAAGAAGACAAACATGCTGTTGAGTCGCAACTGATTCGTGGCAACCCCACCCGCAGGGCGTTACAGGCAAGAGACAAGCAAAGGTGGCGTGCCGTTGCCTTTTTCCCGCAGCAACCCCAGTCTTCCTTGGTGGTAACCAACTTATGCCGACCCCAACAATGGGCTTTCAGGGCAAATGAGAAGCAGAGCCATTCCGCCACTGCCTTCTTCTGCCGCTTCCTTGGTGGTCTCCCATCAAAGGACCGACCTTGCTTAGTTTCTGAGATCTGATGACATCTGACTGTACTATACAGTGCTGCCTTCCCTCCCCCCATTAAGCAACAGGAGGACAAAAAGGAGAAATGAACACTTTTGATAGATACACCTGGTACCTCTGTCCCAGTAGCCTTTTGTCTAGATTTCAGCTCTGTGTCTGGGCTGCCTCTTCTGCATTCACCTGGCATGCAGCCACCCGTCTTCATTTACATAATATTGAAAAGAGTGACTTCACTGATGCCCACGTGCTGCCCTTCAATTAATTCTTAGTGGAAATTTTGAAACTTTATAACTTTGGTGAATATCCGTTACATATTAATAAGCTAGTCAGGCCAAGGCCCCAGAAAATTTATGAATCTTAACAAAACATAAACTTGATGCAGTGTGCAAAAACACACACAAACCCCCCCAAAACTGGTCACAAACTTTAGAAATCTTCAAGGCTATTGAAACATCTATAACTCAGCCATTTTATATCAAACTTTTCTGAAGTCTGAGCAGATCACTCCACTCTCCCAGTAGATTCTCTGTGCTGCATCGCAGACTAATGGGACAAATTATTGATTTTGTGCTAAACTGAATTCTTGAGCATTATAATAATAGCGTGCTAAAAAAACTAATATGCCTTAACTGTGCAATTAAATGTGGAGATATTCAAATAAATGATTCTGCAGTTCCAAACCATAATCGCCTTGATCTAGCTCCCGAACTTTTCCCCACAAGCATAAACAAAAACGGTCTATATGTGATTCTCTTCACAGCTTCAACACCTGGGGCTGCACAAGAGGAGCCCCCTTCTGAAAAGAGTAAAGTGGGCTTCTCCTTGGGAGGGGAGGAACGGAGTCTGCCCCCGCTTACCAAACAACTCAGTGGTAGGATTTCAACTTTTATGGAAGCATCGATATCATCCTGGCTGCTTAATTCATTCTGCTTTGAAGCAGGCCAACTTACCAAAAAAGAAAAAAGAACGCACTAAATTCAGTAGGATCTCTGCATAAACGCACTGAAGATCAGGCTGTAAATTAGTTTTCCAGATGATTCTCGTTAAACCTTGAACAACTAATAAATGTGCAGTCTGGAGCTGGTTGTGAGACACATTAAGCTGAAACATTCACCCAATACAGAAAACCGTGGGCCATTTAAAATTCAGTCACTTAAGTGACTGAGGAAGAGAAGGGTCAGTGTTCCGGCTGACGCTGAGTCAAACAGCAGCAAACTGATTTATGCAATATAGCCCAATCGCTCGCTCACAACTTTAATGCCAGAAGCTCACAAAGTAGGACTTTTGCTCACAAGACTCCACAGCTTAGAGGGAGCCTTGGTCAGATGTCCCACGTTTAATCCTATAAGCCATACAGAGTTCCAGGGTTGGGCTGTGCTAGTCACCAGTGGCCATCACAGAAAACGGCAATGCTGGCAGTTTCCCTGTTGACAGTGCAGGCTGCGAGAGGTGCTCGGTGCCAGGAGTCATCTACATATATTGTCAAAGTCTTCATGGTGTTTCATGAAGCCAGTGTGGCGTAGTGGTTAGAATGCTGGAGACCCAGGTTCAAATCCACTCTTTGTGCTGAAATTAACTGGGGAGCCTTGGGACAGTCACACTCTGTCTGCCTAACTTACTTCACGCAGTCGTGAGGATAAAATAGAAGGGAAAGAAACTATTTATACTACCTTGAGCTTCTTGGGAAAAGGCAGGATAAAAAGAAGAAGAGATTGGATTTCTACCCCACCCTTCACTACCCAAAGGAGTCTCAGAGTGGCTCACAAACTCATTTCCTTTCCCTTCCCCTCCCCACAACAGACACCCTGTGAGGTAGGTGGGGCTGAGAGAGCTCTCTCGAGGACTGCCCTTGAGAGAACAGCTCTGAGAGAACTTGTGACTGGCCCAAGGTCACACTAGTAGCTGCATGTGGAAGAGTGGGGAATCAAACCCGGTTCTCCCAGATTAGAGTCCGCGCTCCTAACTGCTACACCAAAGTGGCTCAAAAAGGTACTAAATAAATCAATCAAAGCAGAAAATGGAGAGCACAGAAAGCATCATGGTTGTCACTTGAACAGCAAAAAGACCATCCGTTAACCCTCACAGAAGGCTTTGTACCTGCCCATTAAGGGAGGCTGAGACTACAGAGCACATGTTTTTAGATGTCCGTATTATAAGGTGGCACGTAATAAAATCACTCCACTGACTGAACAAATTTCGGTCTTTCCGAAAAAGCTAGACTCAAGTTTCTTCTGTCTGATAGAAACCCCCAAATTACCCGCCAAGTAGCCAATTTCTGTATGGTGATACTCAGATCATGGAAACTCTAAGGTAGCTAGTTAGATATCTTTGTTTGATATTAGATTAAATTTTAATTTGCTTTTAATGTGTCACTGATGTATCTTAAAATCTCGGAATATTGTAAAGGTGTACTTCTTTTTGTATGACTGGTCTAAGGACTGTAGAAATTAATTGATTGATTGAGAACCCTCACTTATTTTTCCTCCTCATTAATCATCTATACTAAACAAAACATTACGCATCAGGACTGACCAGGGCTGTCCATGGGCTGAAAGCCATTCAGCACGCAGCCATATTTCCCTGTAGCAACCTGATGATCGGAACAGTTTGTCCAAGCAACAAATAGCAATTCCATGTCAAATTATTCAGAGAACTGATTCTCCATGTGCACGGGGCAGCTTAGTAGAATATACACGGGGGGGGGGGGGAGCAAATCTCTGAATTTCTCCCCCTACCGCTGCATTCAGAAATCGCTTGTGGCCTGGGGTATCTGCATCTCTGTGCATTTATATTGCCCTAATCGACACAGCCTTCCTACCTATCCTTTTCAGTGAAGGACTCATCATGCATATGCACTGGAGCGGCTGTGTGCATTTGTGCACTGTGTCCTATTCTACACTCCATGTGGTGGGAGCGTGGCCTGTGACATTTGCAGGCCCAGATATCTGAGCCTGTATTGGCTTCAAAGAGCAAGTGTCCGTTGCCCCGTGAAGGAAAAACCAAAGTTCTCTAGCATTTTCCCTCCCTGTCCCCACTCCAGCCTACCTCGGAAGCTCAGCTCACTGTCACTAACCCCGCAGTCCTCCGCCGAGCTCTCTTTCTCGTGTTTGCTGCCTCCTCGGTTTCTCTTTACGCTCTTGTAGAACTGCCCCCAGCGGTGCCGCCCAGCGTCTTTCTTCAGACGTTTCTCTTTGGCCCTTCTGTTTTGAAACCAGACCTGTAGCCAAGGGGAGAGTTTTTTTAAAAAATGGTTATGGGAGGACAACCATACCTTGACAAGCCTTTATTGGCATACGTATATACATACAATAGGAGATCAGATTAAATATAGATCGAAAAATACAAATCCATATAGGGTAAAATTGGAGTTACGACGCAGAAAAACAGCCTGAAAGCAGGCCCTATAAGGCTTTGAAGGTAATTACCAGCATCTTGAAGCGAATCCGGAAGTCAACTGGCAACAAATGCAGTTGGCGGAGCACCTGCCGGATCTGGGCCCGCATAGCCGTTGATGTCAGCAGGTGCCCTGCCACATTTTGCACCAGCTGTAGTTTCCAGGTCAGCCCCAAGGGTGAGCCTACATAGAGTGAGTTGCAGTAATCAAGCCTGGAAGTGACCATTGTGTGGAGCACTGTAGCTAAGTCCTGGGGGGGGGGGGAGATATGGTCTCAGCGGCCTTATCTGCCTAAGATGGAAAAATGCAGACCTGGCAACTGCCGTAACCTGGGCCTCCATAGACAGAGAGGCATCCAGTGTTACTCCCAGGCTCCTCCTTGTCTGGGCCGGCACCAAAGGAGCCCCTTCCAATGTGGGGAGTCTGATATCCACATCCACACACCCCCGACCCAGGCACAGGACCTCCGTCTTCGATGGATTTAGCTTCAACTGGCTCTGCCGCACCCACCCAGCCACCGCTGCCAGAGCCTCGGCCAGAATGTCAGGGGCCGGAGACGGATGGCCGTCCATTAAGAGGTAGAGCTGGGTGCCATCCGCTTACTGATGGCAACCCAGCCCATGGGCGAGGGGGCACATGTAGATGGTAAATAACATTGGCGAGAGGATCGCCCTTTGCAGCACTCCACCTTCAAGTGGGTATCGCAAGGAGACCCTCTCAGCAAGCGCCACCCTCTGTCTCCGAGGGTGCATATTTTATATAGTAGCTTGAACAAGTAATTAATACTATGGATCAATAATCTGTTTCAACAGAGTCAGTATCAGGCCAACCAGCTCACCTGCACGACCCGCATGTCCAGTCCGGTCTCGGAGGACAGCTGCTCCCGCACGTGCCTGGCTGGTTTGGGGGAGTTTTTGTAGGCATTTTTCAATGTTTCCAACTGCTTGGCTGTGATGGTGGTTCGGGGCCTCTTCGCTCCTGCTTCCGAATCATCTGTAATAGAAATCTTGCAATTACTTTGGAGCACAGGGCATGAAACAAGCATGCAGGAAGGGAAGCACATGCATGCAATGGATTTTGACAGCACACAAGAATGAAAAGGAGGACTGACCCCTAGTACAGAGGAGATGGAGGGCCTTGTACTTTGCACTGTTAAAGTACTGAGTACTGAGATGAGTCAACGCCGTTGATGCGGGCTTTGGGGTATAGTTACAGGTTACCATCTTGACTTGACTCAATTGATAACATCTTTGAGCACTTTATTATTGTTGATAATGGTTGTTTTATGTGTGATTTTATTATTTTACTGGCCCATGCTGCCCTTATTTGTAAGCCGCCCAGAGCCCATCCGCGGGGAGGGCGGGATATAAGTGTAATGATAAATCAATCAATCAATCAAGGCCACTGGGCATACATGGTTCTGAAAGTGGCACCAAGGAATCGCAGCAACTGTACAGGTATCTTCAGCAAGATGTCCTGGCTAGCAGCGTGTTGCATGTCTGCGCCCAGGTTTGCCTCTGAATAGGATGTCAAATAGCCCTTTTAGTGTGTTATCTACTGCTGTGGTGGCTTTGGGGCGGTGGGGGAAAGGGGGGAGACTCTGAGGCATCCGCCTTCTGGACTGCAGAATATCCAGCCCCCCCCCCCCTCTGGCCTCTCTTAATATTCTGCATACCCCAACCACCCACAATCAAATAAGAAGGGGGACGCAAGATTTTAAAGTAAAGATCGGTAGCATGTAAGCTACATAAGGTTGCCAGGTCCTCTGTGCCCCCCGACGGGGGGTGGGAGGGAGCCCTCTGGGAGTTTTGCCCCAAATACGACAGCATCGCCATGTGGCGTTCCCAGCATGATGGTGTTACTTCTGCATGACATCATCACTCTGGGGACATTGTGCTGGGTAGCAGTGGGGGGGGAGCCTGCCAAATTGGGGACTTGGCCACTCCCACCAGGAGGCTGGCAACCCTAAAGCTATATGGATGCCTAAAGATTTCTTATTTGCAGGGGTCATTTCCTGCAGGAGCGCACAGGAGCAGAGCTCTGGCAGTAAAGAGCCCAGGGGGCGGGCACATGCAACGAGCCACACCCCCTGCTCCCAGCAGCCCTCAGTCAGAGCAAGAAGCAGCCAGGTAAGTTGCAGAGCTCCCTCTGGCCCCCCAGCCCAAAACAGTCCAGTGGCATCTTTAAGAACAAGTTTTATTCAGGTACAAGCTCTCCCTCCTCTGTGAGGACAGATCTGCACGTTCCCCCCACCCCCAATA